GTACAAGAAAAAAACTAGCTCTGGGAGGCCAAGGTGGCCAGGCGGATGGATTGCTTGAGCTCAGGAGCTCCAGACCAGCTTGAGCAAGCAAAACCCAATTTCTACTACAGATAGAAAAACCGAGGCAAGAAGATCTCTTGGGCCCAAGAGTTTGAGGTTGCTGTGAACTATGATGATACCATGGCACTCTACCCAGGGTGATAAAGGGAGGCTTTGTCTCAAAAAAAAAGAGAGAAAGAAAGAAAATTAAGCCCAAACAGGACACGGTGCTGCACAGTCTGAACACAGATGAAGCTCCACTTTCCCTGAAGCTTTTCTTTTCTTTTCTTTTCTTTTTGGGAGACAGAATCTTACTCTGTCATCCTGGGTAGAGTGCCATGGCATTATAGCTCCCATCAACCCCCAACTATTGGGCTCAAGAAGTCTTCTTGCCTCAGCCTCCCAAGTAGCTGGAACTACACGTGCCCACCTGTAGCTACTTTTTTTTATTTGTAGGATAGATGAGGGTCTTTCTCTTACTCAGGCTGGTCTTGAACTTCTGGGCTCAGGGAATCCACCTGCCTCAGCCTCCCAGAGTGCTAGGATCATGGGTGTGAGCCACCATGCCTGCCCTCCTTGAGGCCTACCCCCTTCAAAGGGAGGTGACTTCTCAAAAGGTACCAGAGCCGGAGTGAATCACAAAGTACAGAGAACAATTTTCCCTTCAGAAAAGGAAAACTAAATTTCAAACTGATATTTGGGGGGAAAGAGGGGAAGTGTCCAAGAATTTAATCATGACCCTTTGGGCTGAAACGCTACAGTGATATTTTTATGACCCAGGAATTCCAAAGCTAGAGCTGCCGCTCAGAGGGCCCGCTGCCTGAGTGGCCTGCTATGCGTGAAATGGCTGATCTGACGCAATGCTTAAATATTTCTTATGATGCGTCTGAGCAGTGAAATCACTTCTATGCATTATCATCACCAATGATGAATTGAAAATAAATTAATTCTGCCCCACAGCTAAGCGTGAAAACATTCAAAAAATGTCTGGAGTAGTTCATATTCCAGAGGCTGACTTTTTCCCCTCCCCAAACTGCATTGGTGACATTTTTTCATTCCAGATGACATAGCTATGATATTACATACCACAGCGCAGGGCTTGGAATTAGGTTTCTGTTAGAAAATGTGTACGTAGCCCTGTACATCTCTAAGCAGTTATTGAATTGGACGAGAAAAGTGACGGTGTTTGTATTTCTGTGGTTACGATGAGATTTTTTTCTTCTTTTAAGCCATGAAAACTAGACTATTGCACATGCCACTTTAAACGCCCTATCTTTCCCAAAAACTACCCCTTAAAGATGGCTCCTTCAAATAACATTGTATTACATGAGAAAGGCCAAAAAAAAAAATTATCCTTTCAAGAGCTACTGTTGATTTCTTTACCTGCAAAGAGAAAAGAAACGCTGGACGTCACCCTACCTGACTGATGTTGTTCCAGGAGAAAATGAGTCTCACCAATTTTTTAAGCTTATTTTGAGTTTTACAGTCCAGCGATGTGAATTTTGTCTGTCTATAATTTTTCCAGAACTTTTCGGTTTTGAGAAAAATGACGAAGGACGAACAACTTAAAATCAATCAAAATGTTGCGAAGACTTTGAAAGAATTATCAGCGTCCCGGCCCCGTCTGCTACAGGTTTTATGACCTCCATTCACTGAAACCTACAAGCTGCTCTGCAGCCTGAAAACCCACCAACACCACAAATAAGAACTCCTGACAGTTTTATTCGCATTTCACATCTTTTACTGTCTGTCTCCGATATGTTAAAGACCGTGCTGAGTTATTTTATAGCCTTATTTAATACTGTTTTTATTTTATACCTGAAGAAACTGAAGCGGTTTAGGGGAGTATTTCCTGGAATTCAAGGGATGATCCCGTTTCTATATCAAAACCCAGATTCCCATTTATTCCCTGCAATGAACTGAATTTCCATGCCATACCACAGCAGCTCTGGCTCGGCTGGGGTACCTGTCTGGGGGGCTATGCGGTTAATCATATTAACTTTTATTTATTTTTTAAATTAAATCATAGCTGTGTACATTAGTGCAATCATGGGGTACAATGTGCTGGTTTTACATACAATGTGAAATGCATTCATCAAACTGGTCAACACAGCCTTCACGGCATTTTCTTAGTTATTGTGTTAAGACTTTCATATTCTACACCTAGTAAATTTTACATGTACCCTTGCAAGACATTAACTTTTAAAAATCCTTATTCCAAGTTTCCAAATCATTGGCAAGTTACCAGTTTCAGCAATCATAGCGTATCAAATATGGAATGGCCCTGTTTGAGTTACTGGCCCTGACAGTATAAATGATATTTTTATGGCAATACCAAGTAACTAGATTTTACTTAATTTTTAATGAAAAGGTAGATGATGGATAGTGACATAAATCACCCTACCATTTGCTAACTAAAGACCTAACATCGTTAGTGACAACAAATGTATTATAGTGATATTTATTTATTTATTTTCTCCTTTTTAAATTATTTCTTTATTTTTCATATACATGTGATTATTAGGTAGTGACATTTATTTTGTGTTCTTGGAAAATGGCCAAGGAAATGAAAACCTCCCAAACAAAGCACGTATGTTACCTGCATAGAGCCTCGATGGCATCTCTGTCCAAAAAATCGTGCTCTCGCTTGACCAAGGAAATATCAATGGGGAACAAGAGATCTGTAGGAAAAAAATAAAGACAAATGTATTTACTCAGCAGCTAAGTTCTCACCAAATAAGCCAGAGTTTTGCAAAGGGGGGGGGTAAAAAAACTCCTGAAGGCATTTATCAAGGACATGCTGTGTGCAGAACATCTCATGCCCTGTTCAGTTCTAGGGAGAATAAAGCAACTCTGTAGCAGTGGCCTGAACAAGCATAAGCTCCCAAGTGGTCTGGAAACTAAAAATGCTGCTTTTACTGAAAGAGCAGTGGTCCACCACATTGTTCTATCTTAAAGCACATCGAATCAGCAGGCAATAAACCACTGGTACAAATGACCATTTAAACCAGAATGAGTATCAGAAGGATGTTCTTTTTTAAGGTGGCTAAGGTTTTTGTCTTTTTTTTCTTTTCCTTTTTTAAAATGTGTCTTGCCTGTGGCTCAGTGAGTAGGGTGCCAGCCCCATATATAGAAGGTGGTGAGTTCAAACCCAGCCCTGGCCAAACTACA